AGGTTCATTTGGGCCTGGAATCGAACCTTGACCACGTCGGTGGGTTGTGCAAACGACACGGCCATGGCACCTGTTGTGCAGCCGGCCAGTATCCGCATCGGCACGCCTGGATCTGGAGAGACGTGGAAGAGTAGGATGTTCTTAGCTTGTTTTAGAATGTAATATATTTAATATATAGAATTTCTTTATAAATGGTGCAACAGGAATGTTACAATAGACGGACTGTAGGATTTTTCTCATCCACCAGAACCATGCTACATGCTAACCTGTCCAAAAACATCCTAACAAATATTTTTGGTGTTTCTAATACAAACATAGTGCACTTGAGTTAAAACAAAACTCACTGACAAGTAGCTTTTAAGCAACAAAGGGGCTTGTATTGAATAAATAATTTCTTATTATTGATGAAGATGGGAAATTATTTCTCTTATAACATGGGAAAATGTCCTGTTTTTAGTGAAATAATCTCCCAGCAGACCTAGTACTTCTTTATCAGTATCAATGATTTATTGACCTAAAACAAGTTCATGTATATTGCCAAAAAAGTTACTTTTAAGTTAGTTTTGTCTTATTTTAAGTGTACTAAAACATTTTCACTAGAAACTAAATGAAAAGATTTTGTGTTTTTGCAGTGTGCAAGTGAAATCCTACTTTCTTTGCCTCCGGTGTAGAAGTTTTTCACGTTGTCATAGAGACCGATTCTGATGGAAGCGAAACACAGCTGCCTCTGCAGTCCGGCCACCAGCCCGTTATACAAGGACCTGGGCCCCTCGGTCCGGACCATGGTGCTGATGGTACCAAACACCCCTCTGTAGCGGATGCCACCCACCGCTTGCTTCTCCCCTTGAATCTGAGGGAGAAGTGCCATTTAGACTTTTCCAGAAAACCAGAAGATAAATCCATTCTGGTGCATCATAATGTGAACCCATTTGGTAAAATTATATTTTTATAGACAAACAAGGTTTTTTTATATTAATTGTAAAATGTATATATTTTTTTGTACATAGACTTTTAGAGTCTATGTTTTCCAGTTAGTGATTCATAGATTATTAAATTAGTTGATAATTATTTCAGTAATCGATTAATCATGTTTGAGTCAATTAATCGTTCCAACCCTAATTTTTTGTTGCTGTTTCTGTTTCTGGAGAAAGGGAGAGAGGGCTGATCAATGTACTATTAGTGAATATTGTCAATTGGTCGATATTGTGATAATAATATTTACATTCATAGTGACTTCTTCTAAGATTATTTCCATATTTGGTTAATCACAATAATTGTTTCAGCCCTAATTTCCATCTTGTTGCCGTTTGTGTTTCTGGAGAAAAGGAGACAGAATTGGTCAATGTAATATTAGTGAATATTGTTAATTGACTGAAATTGCAATAGTAATAGTATCACACCCAATACTAGGATGCACAAATCAGTGCATCCCTAAATTTGAAGTGAATAAGTTACTATGAATTAATCAGTTTATCTTTTTTGTATATTTCTGCTAAATTCATCCAAGCATAGGCTTTTTAGAAATACACTTGTTTATTTTTAAAATATTATTTTTTTTAAGTGAGTCATTCTTTTCTCTTTTTCTTTCATGGCCATTTTTAGAGTCTGCACTCCAGCTGAGGATTAATAGATTACTAATTAATAAATCAATTAATTAATCACGATTGAGTCGATTAATTGTTTCAGTGCTAATTTCCATCTTGCTGCCGTTTGTGTTTCTAGAGAAAAGGGGAGAGAGTTAGTCAATATAATATTAGTGAATATTGTTGATTGGCTGAAATTACATTACTAATATTGGTTATCGATATTGGTCCAACTTTTCAAATTGGTGCATACCTAAATTTGGGTGAAGAAGTAACTATAAATTATTTACACATCAAAATTATCTTTTAGGAATGTGTTTATATATTTTGAAATACTAGTTTTATTAAGTGAATCACTTATTTTTTTAAAGCAAATAGTTGTTTTTAGAGTATTCTCTACTTAACAATTAATTGATTATTATTTCAACAATCAATTAATCACGATTAATTTGATTAATCGTTTCAGCCATAAACTGATGATTACTATCATAACTTGCTGGTACCTGTAGTCTGACTTTGGCTGTGTCCAGAGGAAACGTGACCATGTCTGCTATGCAGGCTGCTGCTCCGGCACTCGCCATCTTCACCCCAAGAGGAGGAGGCACATCTGAGGGCTTGAGTCCCACCATGTTCCCTGCCTCTGCAAACAATAAACAGTAAACATATTTGATTTCACACTAAATCAGCGAACACTGAAGTCTCAGTTAGAGCTACATAAGACACTTACATTGTTTAGGACTAATTAAAGGTTCTTGTTTTGGTCCTGAGATGTTACCAGGCAGGGTTTGAAGGACCAGATGGTAATCCTCGAAGGGCCCTTCTAGTACAGAAAGGGAAGAGGCGTCTTTCGCTCTGTAATTATATACTTACTGTCCGGTTTTTATGGCATCCACAGAGAGGCGTCTCTGTGCACTTGCGTGTGCCCGGGTTCAATCAAAGTCCACTCCCTGCGAGATAATCAATGTTCAATTCACCTGACGGGGCCTGTCAGTAAAAACAAGAAAAACAAATTCTGTTGTGAGTGAAAAAAAATGATATCTCAAAGTTCTTAGACATAGTTTGACATCTTTATTATTTGGATGCCCATATCTGGTGCACTGAGTACAAATATGTGTCAGCAGATTTCCCACATAAACAGTCAATAATATTAGGTAATTATTTACACAGCAGGAACATTGCTGATATCTGAGCGTTATCTGGTGAGTTTTTTGGGGGCTTGTCCGGGCTTCCAGCCAATAACGGCACAAACATGCAAACAGCAGATTCATAAACCCAATTCCCAATCACTTCTGCAGACTTTACAGTAGTCACAATTTCATGCTGGGTTTTGTTAAATGTCTTAGTCTGAAAATATATATCTGTCAATTTGTTCATGTTTCCTGGTTGTTTTTTCAGTTGCTTGTGTCAAATCAAATCTGAAGGAGTCTTACATGTGAGCGGTGACGTTCATCCATGACTGAAGTTCAATCCACAGAAGATAAGAGCTTTGAAATCACATCGTGTTATGGCAGCAGCTCAGTCTGTTATACAAGAAGAAATGTACATATGCAGCGACTTACAAAAGTATTCACACTCCTTAGATATTTTTACATTTTCATGTTTTCACCCGCAAACTTTAATTTATTTTTGAAAGAGATTTTAATTGTGAAGTGGAAGGAAAATGGTTCCGTCCGTCCATCCGTCCGTCTGTCCATTCAGTTGTAATAGTGAAAAACAGTAAACTACATCAGAAAGTAAATTAGAACAAATGCAGTTTAGTTCTAACTTACAGTAACTCCTCTCTTCATCTACAGGTTTAATAGGACTGTTCATTCATTTTCATCTTTAATCAACTATTCAGGAAATGGTTTGTCAAACTGATCATTTTTATTATGCTGTTTATGTTGCCAATGTCTGGCCGACGTGTTTAATTACCAAAATAAACTCGTAAAATGGGAGTCAACATCGTTTAAAAGCAGCTATGAAAAAACATTCATTTGCAGACGCCCAACCATTTAAAAATGATATCCGATGTACTGTAAATTAAAGTATTCTATCATCTAAGGTTTTTAGTTGAGCCTACCCAACCATAATAATAAAATTTTGGAAAAAGAACATTTTTAGGAGATTCAAAGCTGTAATAACTTCCAGCCTTTTTAACTCTGTTTGGGACCTGAAACATTTTGAATCATTTCACTTAATAAAATTTCCCTTTTAATGAAAAGTCATATGAACTCGAACTCTTTCAACTGTTCCTTTCAGACAAACATAATGTTCGATGGATTAATAATTTATTGCTCCCTCAGGAGTCCAAAAAAGGCTTGTTCCCACCAGCCAATGGTATTCTGGTTTGGTGTCTTACTGAGCTGTGATTGGACGACTGCGACCACAACCCCCACAGACTTGGATATAGAGACGGATGAGTTTTTCTCACTATCTGACATACACACCTGGTGTGAGAGAATCAAGACTGAAACTCATTTGAAAATAATTGCTATAACATTTTATACATTTTAACTACAATAACTCATTTGGAAATTTTGAAACTGAGTACTTTAGTATTTCTTAAACTTATTCTGTAAACTGAATGCTGTTCTTAGAAATGTTAGTTTTTTTAAATGTATTGATTTTACTTTAAAAATGTGTGGACTTTGCTGTTTTAACTCAGTCTGTGCCAGATAAACTAGCCGTCTGTCCACAGAGCCGGCTGCAGCTGGAGGTGTTTGGTATCTTCACGGGTCATTAGGTCAGAGGTGGAGGGGCAAGCGATATCAGTTCATGCACCCATTAACTTTTGGGTTGTAACAAAAGTTATTCTTACAACCCAATTTCTAATAACTGGAAGAAAATAGATGGATGAAAAAGAATCCGTATCAGGGGTGTCCAAACCTTTTGGCTTGGGGACCAAAACTCTCAAGTTGAAAGAATCAGAGGGTCACAAATAAACACAATATTTTAATGTCATGAGAAAAGCAATAGGATTTCTGTACAAGAAATGTATAAATTGTAGATTTTAAGCAAAAAAAAAAAAAAAAAAAGGTTTGCAAAATAAAACAAAAAAAACCCATCTTATTCTGGATTTTTTTTGTGTCTTTTTAGTAACGGGAACAGAATATGGCTCAGTCTAGTTTAATTTTGACAAGCTTGTTGATCTAAACTGCCCAGGTTGCATGTTTTTTTTGTCTCCTCTTACTATAAGAAGAGATATTTAAAGTAAAAACCTGTATGGTTTTTACTTTGAAAGATGTGTCCACTGCGTGAACTGTGCCCAAAGGCCGTTCAGAATTGTTCCGAGGGCCGTAAATGGCCCCGGGCCGCACTTTGGACACCACTGATATCTTTGGGTTAAATAAAGGAATTCAATGCGAGTTCTGCCACTAGGTGGCAGTCACGCACAATTTATGGCAAAGTCTGAATAAAGCTCTGGAGGCAGCACTCTGAATTAATGACACTGATTTTAATTAGACGAGTGATACACAACGCACCAGAATCCAGAGCAGCAACATCTGGTCAAATAAATTCAATATATTTACAGTAGAAAAAAAAATCATGTGAAAATGCACAAAATAAAAAAAACACATGTCTGGAAGGACAAAAATGTAATAAAAGCAATAAAAGGCAAGCAGATGCAGTAGTGGGCTTTGATGCATTGTAAACATATAAGCTCTTCATTTTAGTGTAATAATACTGAAAGAAATTAAAATATTTTCTCTGTAGCTTAAATAAAATGTTTTAGCAGTTGAATAGAATCTGTCTATGTATTTGTTGTACAAGTTGGTTTCGTTTTTTGTCAACTGAAGAAAATAAATAATCTGCTAAAGTGACGAACAGCATTAAAGTGAACTGGAGTGTTTTCACAACAATGGATCTCTATCGCTCCGTCTTCTGGCTCCTTATAAGGACGTAGCAGCAATCAGAATTGCAACTAAAGGAAGCAACAGTTTGACCAGATGTGATAAGTGACGATACACACTAGAATATTAATGTCTGAGTTGGAACCGTACTGTACAGAACTGTGCAAAAGTTCTTTACAAGTTGCTTCCATGGAGTTGAACTTTCATATTTCCTGCTACTAAACTTTCAGTAACGGTTTCAAAGGTTACGAGAAGATCTAACAGCTCTGAAACAAAGTATAGAAGTGGTTTCAAGCAACACTACATGGGTGGACATCTACACGGCCTAGTTGTACAGAGATATCAGATTAATACCACTTATGCATATTGTCTTATAAAGGTACAGCCACTACTTATACACACTTGATTTCATCTGAGCAAACCATGAGCGAGTTTCTTCTCTGCAAAAACTCACAATCTTACCAAGTACGTTTGGTCCAGTTTCTTAGAAGTCTTGAAATTAACTTACAAGTAACTTTTCAGAAAGATATGAGAGCTTGTTTAAAGCCAATAATTTCTTAATATTGATGAAAATGTTCTAGTTCAACTGGCAGATTATTTCATTTCTAACTACGGGTTATAAATGAAATAAATGATTGCAATTTTCTGGCCGATTACAAGCTTTAAAAGTCTGACCTGCAGGTTCTGATTTTGGCCATGTTGCTTTTTTTTTTGTCTGAAATGTTGCTAAATATAGCAAGAAAGTCGCTGAGTTGGCAACAATGGGTTGACTGTTAACTGCCAATGTACAGAAAGTCGAGCCTCTCTCACTGCAGAGCAGAAGAGGACAGAGGTTGATTTTTAAACCTTTGCCAAGTAAATGAGATCGGCGGATAAGATCAGCTTTACATGTACGCGTCGGCCGATCAAAGATGTCCCATAATTAAGGAAATCAAGGCTGATTTATCAGTTGTTTTAAGTGAATAAATCTCCCAGACGAACTGGTACTTTCTCATCAATATTAAGTGATTATTTTCTTAAAACAAGCTCCTATATTTTCCTAAAAAGTTACTGGAAAGTTAGTGTACCTGAAATAAAACAAACCTAAAATATTTTTCACTAGAAATTGGACCAAAAATACTTGGTAAGATTTTGTATTTTTGCAGTGTGGTCTTCTCTTCAGACAACAGGATCTATTGATTTACATGGTAGGTTTTAAACTTCTGGTAAAATACGTCATTAGAAGCAGATTTGGTCACATTCTTTCACATATACACTTGTACAATTTTCTCCATAATCCTAGAAAATGTCACGGAAACTCCTCAGAACAGCTTTAGTCTTTCAGCCAGAGAGAGAGATCTCATAGTCACTAGTGGACAGCAGGGGGCGCCCGACTTTCCGCACGTTCTTGGCGTTGGTGATGCATGCCGCCACGTCCACCGGCTTCTCGAAGTACCGCACCAGAGCCTGTTCGGTGAGGACGGAGGCCAGGAACTGCTCGAAGGTGATGGCCCAGTCTTTGTCGATGCTGGTGCTGTGCGGCAGGCCGCCGCCGTTGGGAATCCTTCTCCGTTCGCGCTCCGAGGGCCGCTCGTCGCTGCACACCAGCACTGTGTCGTCGGCGATGTCTTCGCACTGCAGCTTCTCGTCCAGCTCGTGGGAGCCGGCGCTCAGCACCGAGTACGACGACATGGACGTGTCGTCTTTTGTTTCGTCGTCGGAGATGAGCATGGCGGACGACGTCCCCGTCTCCTTGGGGGACGAGTCTTCCAGCTTGATGTCCTGCATGGGCGCCAGCTCCTCGCTCACATCCTGCTGCTTGGCGTCCTCGCAGGGGCTCGGCTTGTCCTCCAGCTCCGCCGGGATGAAAACATCTCCCAGATCCGGAGGGTCTTGAGTGGATTTGAGATCCACCAATTCTCTCCTGCACAAACTCGACTCTGAATTTGTCTCCTGGCTGGGATCCTTCCGGCCGCAGGAAGTGAAGAGCTTCCCCACTTCTCCCATTTCCAGCAGCAGACTGGTGACGGTTGCAGTGGCGTGATAAAGCTCCTGCTCAGCTACATCCTCACTGAACATGCTGTAGAGTGTCTTACAGAGCTCAATGAACTGACTCTGAAAGACAGAAACAATACATCACAATTCTTATCATTACAAGAAATGTTCACAATACATGATAAACATTATGATAAATGCCCAAACCTAAACAAGGGTTGCTGGTGCCTATAGAGATTTACTCTACACTAGGGATCCATGGATCCACTTTTTCACTTCTGATACCGATATGTGAGGTTTAGTATCGGCCAATACCAGTTCGATACAGAAAAAAATTGCTGAATTAACTTAAAACACTTAATTTTTAAAGACACAGACATAAATGTTTACGATCTCTAAGCACAAAGCCGTTTCTCAGATCAAATCCTACCTGGTTCAGCTTTGGAAGGTCCTTTGTGCTTTCTCGTTTGGGCTTCGTCTCCTCGTTCCACAGTTTCAAGTAGTGACGGTAATCAGGAGTGCTCAGTTTCTTCACTGTCAAAGAAATTTAAAGAATCTCTTCAAGATTTTAAAATTTTAATTAGACGTTTGGTTCCATATTACAGTTAGAACATTCTATAAACACATTTTCTTGCTAAGTATTTAGTAAAATTGCCTTTTAAGCTTATAACTTTGGTCAAACATTTGGGTTTCCACAGACGTCTCACAATAGTTTTCTAGAATTTTAGCCCATTCCTCCTGACAGAATCTTATTCATATGAAGGAAATCATTTGAGTGCTTTAGCAAACGCCATTCTCTGGCTTTCTATGTTGCTTTTTGAGTCGTGGCTTCTTCCTGTGCGAGCGGCCTTTCAGGCAGTGTTAATATAGGACTTACTTCACTGTGGATGATGACACATAATTAGCTTCAGCCTGCATTTTAAGGTCTTTGGATCTGATTCGCCCATTCCCCATACAGACACATTCATCTCAGACACAGAACCTCCTTCTTCCCTGATGAGGTTTTTTATTCAGCATCTTTTCTTGTGTCCTATGATTTCTCTCACCTTTTTCAGTCTTGAACGTAACTCTGACGAAGCCGTCATCCTTCTCGCTTCGACCCTTTGAATCCCGACCTGAGAAGAGAAGTAATAAATAAGTAACCTGAGCTACAATAGATGGCTTAGATCGAAACATACTGATGTTTTAGAATGGTCTAGTCAAAGTCCAGATTTAATGCCCAAGGAGGCAAGACAAAATGTGTTTTTATTTATTTATTCACTTGATTTTAATTGTGTTTCTTATTTAACGGAAACATATTTATCTATATTTACAGACAAAGTGCGTTCACACAATATTGGCATTGTGTTTGTTTTTCATACATAATTCCAACAATTAACACTGAATTTTGACATATTAATTTGCAAAATTGTGGAAATGTTTGATGGGTTTGAATGAAGAAACAGAAAAGTGGTTGAAAAAGCAGCTAAACTATTCAAACTTTTGAAATACATTAAGGATAAAAAGAATGGAAAAGACAAAGTCTTTGATTACTAGTAAATCAGACATTTATCAACATATTTTATGTATATTGATGATTTTGATTATGGCAAATTGTTAAGATGTAACAATTAACTGATGTTTTTATGGTTTATAGCACTTTGAGCTGCTTTGTTGCTGAAATGTGCTTTACAAACAAACTTGACCCAAATTGAACAAATGAATCCACTGAACAGCTTCTGCTACGTCATCTAGTTGAATCGGCAGATGGAGCTTCAATCAGTCAGTGGGATTTGTGGTTGCATGGTTAACACAACTGCATCCTTCATGTGCAAATCACATCACCACAAAATCTGATTTTACTTTCTAACTGCCTGATAAAAATCTCCAGTCTGCTTTCCGAGTCTGTGTACCGATCTGCTCTGACTAAACCTGAAAAACAAAAATATGTGCGGCACAAAGAAGTGATCTGTTAGGAGGTTTAAACTTACTGATGGATGTTTCTGGAGTGATGTCTTCGAAGAAGTACTGAGTGGCTTCGAAGGCCGAGTCGGGCTCTTCTTGCTCATGAGTGATTTCTGGGGAAAAACAGTTTCTTTACAGAATTAGGCTAAAATGCAAAGTTCAGGGAGGCTGAAAAATTCTGTGTCTTGTTGAAAAACACCATAATCTCTACAGCAGTGCAAAAAACTAAACCTTACTGTCTGGATACTAGTACAAATAATTTAGTAACCTAGAAATAAGATAAATAGCTGCGTTTCTACGGGCCATATAACAGCACAATTTAACATTTTGAAAATAAATTATCTTCATAGAAACACATAGGTTCGTATCAAAATTATTTTATTTTGCAAAACTGCAATCACACAAGTCACATGAACAACAACCAGATTGTCACTGATGGCGGAAAGACAAATTAGAAAACAGGAAGTAGATGGAGGATGATTGCACAGCATATTTTTTAATTTGTTCACATGATTTTAATTGCATTTCTTATTTAATGGAAACACTTTGTGCTTTGACATCTGTAATAGAATGCAGCTACTGGTCAGTAGTATTAAAATATTATTTGTTGCTACTTGTCTGACACTCACCAGGCAAGACGTGCATCTTGTAGAGGAGCTTCAGCTTCTCTGTTAGATCCCCATGACACAAAACACCTGCAACACACAACATGGAGTTGAGAGCTGAGACAGAACCAACGACATCCAGAACGGATGTGTTCGTGACCCATCCCTGCTTACTCAGGCCGTTGATGAAGTCTCGGAAGTTGAGCAGGGCGTCTCCGTTTTCGTCCAGCAGACGGAAGAAGCGCACCGCCAGCGGGTCAGAGTGGGCTCCGTTGGCCCAGGGGAACAGCAGGGCGAACAGGCCCTTGAACAGCTCCACGTCGATGCGGTACTGCTCCAGGTACGGCAGGCTGGGGTCGTGGCGCTCGGTGGGGTTACTGCTGCTGCCCCAGTAACAGCTGCTCAGGTGCTCCGCCTGACGAAGACAACAGAAGAGGCAGGTACAAACTTTAAAAAATGCAACTGGAACTGAAGTGCTGCTTGTTTTGGCAAATTGACATCAAAAGACGTTTGGTCTGATTTAACTTCAGACAGTGAGAAATAATAGCAAAGCTTCAAACTGCTGATAATTATTTTAGTAGTTTTTGGTTTCTGTTTAACAACTTTGATGTAAGATAAAAACAAAAAACAACAAAAAAAACAGCATTTATTATTTTTCTGACTGTGAACTTTCAGTTATTTTACGGAGTGCAATACTGGTCACTTGTTTTAAAACGGCTTTGTAATTCTACGAAGACAACAATCATTACAAAGTTGAGATTTTAGCCTATTTAGTGCAGCTGTAACCACAAACAGTCGTTACTGTGTGTGTGTGAAAAAACAAACACAATTCTGCAGTGATATGTTAAACCTTCCCATTATCTGCTGAAAGCTTTGCTCTCTCACTCTCTTTTAATCCTCATTCCTCAATAACAACATTCACACTGAAGAGTGTTGCAGCACCACCTAATAGCGTTCAGAATGGTGATGTTGACTAAAACTTAAACCTTTTTCGATTAATCTGTTCTGGGTTGAATTTGTGGTAACCTTCTTTCTATAATGATCAAGTTTATATCTTGTGTTTTCTTACGATTAAAAAGTTGCGACTCACCTTGAAAAGCACATAAAGCTCCTCCAACTCATCAATACTGAAAGCCGTCTCTGTCAGAATAGTTCGAACCTGGAATAAAAGAGAACAAACCGTGAGGATCTCATCTGTAAAACGACACCAAAGCTTCTTTTACTTTCTACAGTTAGATTTAACGAGCAGCATGGAATAAACTCTGCGTGAAAAAGAAACTCTTAATGATTGCAGAGGTTTCTTACCACGTTGCGTTTGGTTGTGTCCTCAATGGTCTGAATGACCCTCAGTCTCTGTTTGAAGCGCATCTGTTCGATCACGTCTGCGCGGATCGAGCCGAATTTCTACCGAAAAGGAAAAAACACAGACATGAAGGCTGGATCTCCATCAGTACACTGCAAAAAACACAACATCTTCAAGTTATTGTGTTAAAAACCAGCCTTGCTAGTCAGTCAGACAGACACAAGCCGTCAGATGTTTTACCTCATAGGAGCTGCGGACCAGCTTGAAGATGTCAACCTCTGGATGTGGTTCTCCGTTGTCGGTGAGCAGAGAGTGAAGGTGAGGGATGGGAGGGAGGGTGCTGTCCTTGTTGGTCACACTGTCCAGGTACCTGCACACAGACAAAATGAGACCAATAAATGTGAAGTTATTTGGAAAACATAAAAGGTTATTTTCTATTAAATTAAAAACTGATTTTAATACTGAAATGCCAGAATCTGTAAAAGAAAGAAGTTTTGTGCTCTAAGGCTGAACAAACTGAAATTTGAAAGCTAAAGTGTTAACTTTACTGTTCTTGCAAAAATATGTGCACCGATTTATCAGCTTGCCGATTTATTGGTGCCGATCTCCTTAATTTTGGGAGATCAGTGATCAGCTGATACTTGCATGTGAAGCAGATCTTATCCACTGATCTTATCTACCTCAGCTAAGGCCTAAAAATCCCCTAGTAGCATCTCTAGCATCTCCTCCTCCTTACCTGCCCAGGACAGTCATGGCCTCTCCGTCGTCCTTGCAGCCCAGCAGCTGGTGGATGTTGGCGTGCAGGACAGAGAGCGCCAGCTGAAAGATGACCTTGATGCCGTCGTAGAAGAAACAGTCGACCACCACCACGGCGCTCTCGAACGGCATGACGGACAGGAAGAGGGTGAGGAACCAGGAGAGGGAGATGGTGGATATGACGCCCAGGTCCTGCATGCAGTCATACAGCTGTGGGACATACTCGCGGGCGAGCTCCTCGAACACTCCCTGATCAACCAGGGCTCCTAAACGTGAAGGATCGACGCCGTTACGTCTTCACACACACAAATCACCAAGTCAACAGTCCAGTTGGATGTGTTCAGACTGACCAACTACTCTTGTGTTGTAGTAGTCGGGCAGCATCCTCTCGCAGAGAGCCACCAGGAGCCAGAAAGCTTCTTCTTCTTTAGCATAAAGCAGTAACACAGATGTGACGATGTTCATGGCCTGTCGAGACAAGAAAGATTCAAAAACAGACCAGGAAGGCGAGCAGCTGCTGCTGCTGCGGCTGCGGCTGCTGCTTCAAAAAATCATTTTAATATGTCCCAATAGACACATGATCAGTATCAATAGATAATACGTCTGGTAGAATGTTCTGAACCAGTGTTCGGTTCTGGATCACTGAACTGCACAGCATTCTGGGAGATGTAGGCAGAGGAATAGCTTTAGCTGCTCAAACTCACATCTACCTTAGATAGGTTAGTGGAATCATCTAACTCACTCACTCTTTGGTTACCTAGCAACTCACTCACTCTTTGGTTACCTAGCAACTCACTCACTCTTTGGTTACCTAGCAACAACCTGTTGAGTAACTTGCGCTGCAGCAGTTTAGAGTTTCACCAATGTTCCTCATAACTGCTTAAAAATAAAAAAATAACTTTGTGGAGTGAAAACTACGGATGAAACAGGAAAGGTCACATTTGGTTGGCAGTATTTCAGATATTTAAAACAGAAAACTAATCAATAATTGTCGATATCGACTGATACAAAATGATTATATCATTTTTATCTCATCGTTCAGCCCAATCCAGAATGTCCCTTACGTTTTTTATTCGCCTTATTTATCAACATTTGATTCCGATCCAGTCTGATGCCACTTGATGGGGCCCGATATCTGATCCTGTGATTGGATAGCGACATCCCTCGCTGCTGCTGCTGCTGCTGCTGAGTCATGTTGGGATAATCACAATCGGGTCTTCACCTGACAGTATCCGATGTTGGGGTTCCTGAAGGCGTAGGCGGTCAGGACCCTGCGCAGTGCGGCGATGCCCATCTCGTTCTGGAAGGCCGGGTGCTCCGGCAGCGAGCGGTGCAGGTCCCTCTCGATCTCCTCGGTGGCCAGGTTGTACTTCCCCATCGATTTCTCCACCAGGTCTTCGTAGTAACCGGGGTGAGTCGTCATCTCGTTGATCGCCCCTGACCAGGAAAACACGCAGGATTTAAAAACTGAAAGCAGCAACATGTATGACATCTGAAATCATTTGCAACAAAATTACAAACATGCCTTTTTGTTTTCACATGCAGGTAAATTCAGAAACTTAAAGAATAAGGTATAATGTGTTATAGTGCAGACAAAAAGTAAATGAAACTACGATTCTGTTTTTGCTGCACTGTCAGATTTAAATAATTCTGATAAAAGTAAAATAATGTGTAGAAATCACAATAAAACTAAATATACCTTATGTAAATCAATATTATTTATGTTTTAGAAATTTCCACCTAAATTGGAAGTTTTTTAAGTTTGCGGCACAAAATCAGTTTTGTTCTCCTTTCATCTTTTCTCAGTTTATATGAAGGACCAGAAGCTGCACATTTAACACCAGATATAGTTCATATTAATAAAATGGCTTCATTTAACCTGTTAGTTCAGTAAACCTGCAGCTGTTCGTGCTCCACCTTTTTTTAATCGTATAGCACATCTCTGCAACAAGGCAGTTCAAAGTTCAAAGATCAGTGTGATTCAAACTGAACAGAGAACTCTGCCTCCTGCACTGAGGATGTGTTTACTCGCTAACAACTGGGTCAGGCCGTCTGTGACCAACCTACTTTCACTCAGGTGATGATCTGCAGCTGCAGGCATGAGACACGTAACTGTGGTTGTAAACTGAAACCTCTGGATCGTGTTCTTACTTGCGGCGTGTTTTGGGTGGTGAAAGATTTCGCTTCACGAGCCAAAGCTTGAAAAATGACACACTGCTGTTCCCTCTGATTCAGGTAAATCCAGCTGTGTTGGATTTTTTCCTGTCAGTTCAATAATATGCAACGTCTCCTTTTTCTATATTAACCCTTTAAAGGCCTGAAATTAACCTGACAATTGCCTTTAAAACTTTGAGACGTTTCTGGAAATATTTTGTAAAAGCATGTAGTTCAAACATTATGCAATAGCAAAGGCCGACTCCTGAGGTTTTCTTTAACATCTATCGTCTTTCTCAAGTCTTTTTGATCAGTTTTGTTCCTGATTTGTTTTAATCCAAAGTGACTTAACAGGATGACCTATGCCCAATTTTTATATCCAAAAGTATTCACACCTATTGACCTTTTCCACATTTTTTCACATTAAATCCACAAATTTTGATGCATTTTACTGGAATATTGTGACGTAGATAAACCACCGCACAACATTCCAATTTAAAAAGGAATTTAATGTTTATTTTGTATTTTTTATGCATCTTGATTATTGTGTAAACTGCAAAGCTGCAGCTGTAAATGCAGCAAAAAGGTGGTTCAATAAAGTATTAAACTCAATGAGGCTGAGCAGAGTAGAGCCATTTTCCTTCCACCTCATTATGCACTACTTTGTAACGGTTGAAAATGTAATCCTAATTAAGTACATTGAAGTTTGTGGTTGTAATGTGACAGAATATAAAAAGGTTGAAGGAGTATTGATGCTTTTTGAACAAACTGAATCAAGCTGCAGAAGCTTTAGAGAAACTTCTCCCAGCAGATGTTAAACTGTTGTCGTCTAATCTGTAAACAGGAAGTCTTCGTTTCATAAAACATGTCTGAAATACGCTTCAGGTTTCCTTTTCGTCTCAGTGTGTGGTTTCCAGCACGGGTTCCTGCAGGTAATGGGTTTGAATTGTTTGCCCACCTGAGAACAGCAGCCACAGCTCCCCCCTCATGCTCTCAGGGATGCCTTTGAGGACGAGCTCCTTCGTCTTCTCCGTGCGGTACATGCACACCCCCTCGCCGTACTCCGTGAAGTGGTTCTTCCACGCCTGCTCCTTCAGGAACTCCTTAGCCTGAGAGGAAGTGAAGATGGCAGGGTCAAAGGTCGGGCAGACGAGACGAGAGGATTTTTCATAATGGGACTCACCAGTTTGGGGTTAAACTCCTCAGGTGAGCGGCGGCGGTACATAGTCATGAGGGCCTCTGAGGCCGTCGGCACGCTGTTGTCGTTCAGGTTGAAGGTGCGTTCGATGTCTGAGGCCAGAGTCTGCTGCGGACTGCAGGAGAGCAGGGAGCCGTGATGGGAGTAAACCTGCAGAAGAGCAACATTTAAATGTATTTCTGAAAGGTGAGGCAAGTCAAAATGGACTTTTAGCTTTCATGCAAACAAAACTCCTCAGTGTTTTAGTAGTTTTTCTGGAAGCTTGTTCCAGATTTGTGGTGGATAGAAGCTGAATACTTTCTCTGTTTGGTTCTGGTTTTGGGGATGCAGAGCAGAACCAGAACCAGGAGACCTGAGAGGTTTGGAAGGTTGATACAACAGCAGCAGATCTTTAATGTACTGTGGTACTAAGCTGTTCAGTGATTTATAAACTAGCACCAGTATCTTAAGGTCTGTGAGCTGCAGGGAGCCAGTGGAAGGACGTTAGAACTGCTGTGATGAGCTCTAACTTCCTGGTTTTAGTCAGAACGCCAGCAGCAGCGTTCTGGATCTGATTTTTAGGCAGACCTTTAAAAATCTGCAGTAGATAAGATAAGCTGCAGTAAATAATGTTTACTGCAGCAGTAAACATTATTTACTGCTGCAGTAAATAATGTTAGGCTCTGCAAGTTCCTGAAACTAAAGTATTCAATCTAGAAATTCCACATTTATTCATTTCCTTGTATAGCCTCTTATTTATTTATACTCCAGAACAATATCCTGCTAAAACAGTGACTCCCTACTTTTTGTCAGAGGTAAGGAAGATCTGACTGAACCCCGACTGTGTTTTTACCTCGTCATCCGAGCTGTTCAGGCTGCCGTTCAGCTCCCTTTCCAGGTAAATCTTGGAGGTGGTTTGCTGCAGGAAGTCAGAGATCCTCTGCACCAGGAAGTCTCTGTCTTTCAGGTTGGCAAACAGAAAAGTCATGCGATTCTTGGTGCTGATGGAGAGCGGGCTAGGCAGAACGTTGGAGCTGTCTGCCTTCTCCACGATGGTCACCTGCAGGGCATTGAGACACATAAAAAAAACTAAATCATTTAGATCTTCCCAAATAAGACTCTCCTCAAATCACACGTTGTATTTTTACAACCTGCCTTCCCAAGGCTGACAGGTGGTGACACACCACAACATGCAAACTATTACAACATGACCAAACTGCATGTCCTTCCTCACCTCCCGCAGGGGGATGATGAGGCTGCACAGCGTCTCCTCCTTGCTGGTGAAGCAGATGTAGTTGGTGGACACAAACATCTGGCCCAGGATGTGCATCTTGTTAAACGGCGTCCACAGCGTGCAGTCTGTGTGTCCGTCCAGTTTTTCGTCTTTGGGCAGACGGAAGAGAGCCCGGTAACGCTCGCTCTTTGCTCTCGCGTCCAGATCTCTAAAAGATGCAAAACCTTTGTATTATATGATGTTTTACTGAGGAGTTTTGAAAAAGATTAAATGTTTTTGTGAAGTTTTACAACTTGTGTGAATGAATAGACCAACAGACAGAGCAGTGCACAGCAGCCAAGTCAAATATTTGTCTAGATAAGACGTAGCGACCAAACACGGATAATACAATTAATTCAAAGGCTCAGTTTATGTCACCACACCCTTTGGTTTCCTACACTGCAAAAACACAATCTTAACAAGTAGTTTTTGGTCTAGTTTCTTGCAGTATATCTTGCTTTTGTTTTTTTCCAAGTGAACTAAAATATTTGCACTAGAAACTAGATCAAAATGACTTGGTAAGGTTTTGTGTTTTTGCAATGTAAGAGTCTCTTCCACTGATATGTCATCCAGCGTTAGCGTGGTTGTGTTAGCTTTCTCGTACCTCTTCAGCGCCGACACTTTCTTGGGCGACTTCTTCTTCAGCTTGGGCAGCGAGCGGTCCAGTTCGAAGCCTTTGTTGTCCAGCAGCCGCCGCATAGCGATGTTGGCCAGCTGCTCCGCCAGTTTGAAGGTCTCGTTGATGTTTAGGAAGACGGAGAAGACGTGCTCGTTGGCGCGAGTGCTCACCTTGATGACGTCGGGCAGGAGGAGGGTGGCGCTCTTCTCCAGCTGGGTGATGTCGGCCCAGCGGACCACCAGTTTGGCTGAGAGTGAGGAAATGATACGGTTCAATTTTAGACATGACCAAGCTATGCTTAATGAAGGCTAGCTGTAACTGAACCTTGGCTTAAGAAACTTGCTCTCTTAGTTGATTGTAAACTAAGGCTGCATTCACACCAGCCCACTTTAATCCACTTGGACCAAACTCTAGTTTGTTTAGCTAGAAAGTCTGGTTCGTTTGGGGAGGTGTGAAAGCGTAATCAAACTTTGATGCAGACTAAATAAACAAACTCTGGTCTTCCTCCAAACCTACGTCTTGGTTTGGTTGCAGTGAACTCTTGTGCTGTTTAAATATATATGTAAACGCCAAACACACCGAAGGCAGCTCCAAAAGCAGAAAGTGGACTATAGTGCAGGGCATTCTGGGTAAATACAACCAACACAAACTCAAGAATCTAGCACTAAAGGTAAAAATGACTCTCAGTCTTTAAGACAAAGAATAAATCTTACAACTGCAAAAATCTGACAACACTCCATTTTTGTTTTTAAGCCTAAAATACGTACACTGCTGGGATGTATTTTGATACACAGATAATACACACCTTCTTTTCCCAGTAAATATGAGTAGAAGCAGATGTGGTTGATGCTGAGGTACAGCCATCCCTGCCGGGGAACCTTCCCCTTCCAATAGCTGCAGGAGTAATAGTTGACCAGCTTCTCTTCATCTGGCATCCCGAACAGTTTCCGGAACTTCGAACTCGCCTCCTTAAATTTGTCCGTGTCGTCGTCCTCTTTGACGTCATGATTCTTGTTGAACTCTGCGATTATCCCCTGCAAAAGAAACAGAAAATTGACAATTACAGAGGCATGACACAAAGGGGCCTTTCTGCATGAGGCTGAGGACTCACCTGCACTTTTCCTTTGACAAAGGTGGTGATGTCGTTCTCGTTCTCGAAGATGGACAGAGTCTGCAGCAGGTTGTGTTCGAGCCACTCCCAGTGCTCAGTGATCTCTTTCCGAGACGTTCCTGCAGGTCGAGGAGGACAAAAAAAGTTGGACTGTTACAGAAACACACTGGGCCTAAGGTGCCATCATGCTGCAAGGACAGTTGATTTATGAAATCCACTCCTTCATAAATCATGTGAAAACTTTCTCCATGTTTAAAATAACATTCTTCAGAAATTACTGCAAGTGAAAAAATATTAAGACTTAAAAAGCTCCAATAACCTGGGCGGATTTCTCTGCAAGTCATTAAAAAAACAACTTTGAATCACTTTCAGCATTCAGTCTACACCTACCATCAACTACAGTAAATCCTATTAAGTCAAACTAATTCAGCCGTCTTCACATGAGGTTCAGGACATTAGAATACTTCAGCTAAGGCAGTAATTTGCAGATAAGATGAAAATAATCAAAATAATCTATAAAAATAGTCTGGAGAACAGTCCAAATTCAATTCAATTCAATTTAGTTCACCGCCAATTCACAACTAAAGTCAGCTTAAGGCACTTTACAAAAAAAGAAAAATCATTTCAATTCAATCAGGCATTCATTTTAATTGATCCTTGTTATCAAATAGTACAGTGTGCTCAATTAATTATTCAAAGTAATTTAAAAGGTTTCCATCTAAGGAAATGACTGAGTCAATGGAGAAATATGGACCAACAGTGATATTAATAAAACTGAATATTTCCCTGACATTTCTGAAAGAAAAAAGAAAAGCTGGACAGAAATCTTTCCTTCCTAAGATTCTGGATAACAAAAATTATAGACGTTTGTAGGAGAATGGGTTGTTATCCAATTAAAACCAATTCAGGAGCAAAAATTAATTCAGTATTTGTTAGTTTTCTACAATAATTGTAGGAGATGGGTGTCACAATCTGTATGAAAAAATTACAATTGTATATCAGGGTGTAATTTTTCCAACCTAAAATCCAGGAGTTTGACCACATCAGAAATCTTTATACTGGACTTTAATATATAAAGAGAAATGTCAATATGTGGAAAAAACCTCAACAAAACCAGCAGTATGTTCATATTCTGGTGCCATGTTTTTATTTTTTCTAAAAACAATGAACAAAGAGTCTTTCATAGTAAATTCAATATTTGGCTTTTAAGCGGTTCAGCGAAGAAAACAAGACCATGAGAGCGAAGCCCTGGGGCTCTGAGAAACGGTTTCAGCACAACAGAAGAGCCAAACAGTCAGCAGGGAGTTTATCCAACAGACCAACTGAAGTCAACAACAAACACTTTAAACTTTCATTTCTGATCATTCTGCTCTGTTCTGGCTTTTTGTTTTATTTCAAATTAAATTCAGTTGATGCTGAGATGTGACAGTAAAACAGATTATTTAGGTAGAAACTGATCCCAGAACAGTGATGGTTGCCACACGCTGCAGCTAACAGCCCTTCATTTAATGCACTCTGACCACATTAGACATCAGATTTCTGGGAGGAGGAACAAAGAACTGGGAGGAGATGGAAAAAGAGCCAAATCTATTTTAGAGTCAAGCTGTTATGTTAAAATGTCCATTTCAGACAAATGACTCCATTTAATAACAAACTGGCTGTTCACCTGTATAAATAAGATTTTAATTAATCTTCATTTAATTAAAAAGAAACAAAAAGTTCCTGCCAAACGACGCAGAAAGCCGATCAGGGAAACATGCAACATGATGCGGATTTATGTGGCGAAGACGATATAACCTGCAATATGTGAACAAATACAAACAATGTTCACCTCAGCATCCTTTTAAAACAACAACAAGCATATATTACTGCCATAGCATGCAGGAAGGCATGGCTAATATTTGCCGTCCAACATTGCAACATTAATATTGCATAAAGTGATACTCCAATGTTGATAAATTTGTAACATATTATGCAACCCATTTCATTCAGCCTTTATCTGACTCCAAACAGTTAAAAATAAACTTAAAGTCTAAGTTGTGGCAGCTGAGTTTATTAATCTGTTTTGATAACGTGAGGTGTGGGAGTGAAAAATGTTCTCCTACCGTGAGCGATGATCCAGTAGCCTAAAGAGTCAGGGGTCTGGTAGAGGATCCGGTAAGGAGCCATCCGAGCGTTCGAGTCCAGAACGACATCCAAAGTCCCAACAAGCAAACCTGCAACCGCACAAAATAAATTATTAAACAAAATCCTGAAATCTTAAACTTCAGATTGTTCTCTAGCAAACAGGAGGGGAAAAAATATTTGATGCAAATTTTAAAACCGCAAATTAGCGGTAGACAAAAACAAAATTAGCTAAAAACATGTCAGTATTTTTTCCATTTCAACAGGAAGAGCGCCACAGTTTAAATTTCCTGTGGCTTCAACTTATGTTTACTTACTAACCCGTCGTCCTCTGCAATACCGTTACTGCCCAGCATTTTTCTAACAAGTCCTACTTAAATTATAGATGAGCTCTAACCAATGGCCTTATTAATAGTTAATAAGCCCTTTAATAATTTATCCATTAGTTGTAACCAATTAGCATGAATCCATTTGAAGTAACTGACTATTGGTCCAGGTTTGTGTGTTGATACGCCAGCGCTTCTCAAACTCAAATCTTCTAACTTAGCATGTTAAAAACGATAATTTAACATCAAGTTAATCCATTTGGGCTTTTTAACCCGTCTTATGCAGGAACATTTAAAATGTTGGCCACACTGCAAAGAAAGGAGAAATCTTAACATCTGACCTGCAGCAATAAAATGTTAAGTAGAAGCTTTTAAAACAAGAAGATGCAGACTCTGTTCAGGCCCACCAGATCCAGAAACACGGAGACAACTTTAAATCCGAAGCTTCCCCACAGGCATTACAGTTTCAAACTCGTGAAGAAGTTTTTGTGTAATTTCAATATTCAGTTTGTTTCAGCTCAAAGTTAAACCTTCAGCTCAAGTCACAGGTTGAAGAGAACTGAGAAAGCATCAAAAGTTCTTATTTTATGAAGGTATCAGTCAGGAGAAGTGTACAAAACCACCAATAGGAAAACAGTGACATAACAGGAACTTTACAGCTGAAAGGAGGCCGACAGCAACATCGAAGGAGCTACATGTGAGAACAACCTCCAGTGATGGTCACAGTTCTGCAAATCTGATAACAGCAGGGCTAATTTTGTTTAGCGTTTAGCATTTGTGCTAACCTTAAAATGTTTAGCACTCTAAGCTTTTTCTAGATTAACTCTAAAGAGCTAATTTATTTGGTTATTTTGTAAAAATTCAGTTGAATAAAGCCTGAGATCTGCTTTGAAATTTTGGCTATTGACTTAAGAGTTCTTCAAATAGTTAAAACGTTTATTTTGAAACAAAGACTTTATGCAGCAATTCCATTCCTTCTCCTCCCTCTCTCTTGCTTTTTCCCCTGTAATCATAAATACAAAATCTTGGGGCATTACAGAATATATAAATTATGTCAAAATTAAATTGGTGCTTTCACAGGCAGATATAACTTGAACTGAAGTGAGCATTTAGCATTAGCTTCTACTAAGTCATGTGTTTGTGTAGTACTTTCACATCAACTATCTTTTAGTTAGTGGTGCCAACCACCCACAGTCTCCTTTAAAATTCAAACATCAGAACCAAGTAGGTTTGCAAGACAAGATCCTTTCCAGGTTATTTTTGTTTTAAAGCTCCTTTGTGACAAATTGTATGACTCATGTAAAAAATGAGTAGGTGGGGGAGGATAGAGGAGACAAAGGAGGGAAAAGAAAGCAGCTTTATTAATGAAGGGAGCAGTTGGTGTGCAGGAAGGAAGCTCAGATTTCTCCTTAATCTTCCTTCTCATCTTATTTTCACCATTCAGCACCTATTTAGTTATGTAAAACAAAGCTGACACTCAACATTCTGCTAAAGAGGAAGCTGCTTTTGCATTCATGACATGTTTGACTACAGAAAAACAGCAAGTTAACGCCAAGTCACTGCTGATGCTTGCATGCCGACCTGAAAAAAACAAAAAAGGCTTGAAGGTGTTAGTGTAAACCAACGTGTGATAAGCTGATGCTTCCTTCAGAAATCTTGTGGTGAAACTTTGTGAAAACCTGCAGGTCTGGACTCTAGTTGCCCTGCATGAAACAACCAGCTTGATGGAGGTGTGAGTTGAGGTTTACTTCAGGAAAACCAAATGAGAATAACTGTGTCAGACTGCAGTGGAAACAAATAAGGTCTCTCGGTTTTTTCAGAAGAAACTTTCAGCTAAATCTGTCATATCTTAGTCCAGCACTTGAGGAATCGGTGTTCTCCTCTTCTGTGTTTGATGCCAAACATGAAGCCTGCAGGATTAACTCACAAAAACACAACGTGCTCCCTCTCACCACAACCTAAAAACCAGACAGAGAGACAACAAAGCAGCTCTAACAGTCCAGTTATCCTTTCTGACTGGAAAACTCCTGCTGCTTAAAAATAAACTCTAAGAAAAACAACAACAAAATCATATGACACTCTGATTTCTCCAAGACAGAGACAATCAGATGTTCCTGCTGCTCGAGCGAAACGAATCACATTCTGAGCTTGTTTTTCCATGTGGTGGAGGAGCAGGAAACCAGGCTCACACCATGCAAACAGTTACTTGTTTCAATTCACATTTTCGGTCCTCCCCCACAACTTGAAAAGAAAACAGAGAATCTGTGGTGGGTAACCACAAATGTCAACAATAAGCCCCCTGACCTGAAACTGATACAGAAACTGACCAAATTAGGCTACCTTCAGTAGGGCAATATACGTTCCCATCGTCTTCAACCATCAACATTCACTTACAACAAGTGTTTCACTGCAAGCTGAGGCCTGCAGAAGGAGAAGCATGATCCTCTGCAAACAAAAATAATCTGTATTATGAAATGCGGTGCAAAAAAAGAATAGTGTGCAATTTTATGCCGTGAGCAACCTTGTATTCAATTATGCAACAAATGACTCAACAGCCTGTGACTTAAAGCATTTACAGTGAGATCAAATGGGGTTTTGTTGTGTATTTTCCTATTTTGCTAAAAAAAAAAATTCCCCGCCTGCAGCTTTTGTAGCTTTTTTTCGTCAACGTGACGCCTGGAATATGAGATACAACAATAACATACCAAACAGGACTCTTTGACAGCCCACATGCAGATATGATCACTCGCTGCCTTCCCATTACAAATGTGTGAAAATCTTTGTTGATATTCTGCTGATGTTGAAACAACAATTTTTCAAACAATTGAGGCGTTTCCATTAGATATGACATTAAAATCACAAATAAATAAGCTTGTTCACTCGATAAGTTATTAAAAATCATGGCAGCGATGAATGTGAACAGCTACAGAATATATATAGTCATAATCTCCATGACTGTGACTTCCCACCCCATTTTACAGAACAGTTGTGGATTCAACACGTTCAGATGACAACTTTTTATGAGCTGTGATGCTGTGAGACTTTTGGTCGAGCTAGCTGAGATGTTCAAAAAACAAACCATCATCTTCCTACCACTTCCTGTCTTCTTTGTTGTTTTCCCCAGTAGTAACATCCAACTGTTGACTTGTGTAATGTGAAAAAAAAAGTGTTTCAATACGGTCGAAAGAAAAAACACCATTTTAGCGCAAAAACTATATTAAAAAAAAACAAACTTATATTTTTTCTAAATTAGCTTGTTTCTATTACTCAAATTTATTTTTGTAACTTCATACAAAGCTTCAATTAACTTCCCACTTTGGTGTCTCTGTAAAAGATCTTCTGTCTGTTGACCTTTAGTCACTGCTCTGACTGACAGGCAGATTTTCAGGCCTTAAATGCAAATCTGCATTCCTTCTCATGCCCTCATCTTGGCAAAAACCTCAGGTGGAATCTTCTGGGGAAGGGATTAAACATGGAACCGTGCACATTCAGAGAAAGGGCTGCCCCGCTCTAAATGTCAGGCTGGAAAGCTTCCAGAGATGATTACCATTTTTCTATTTCTCAGAGGCCACAGTGTCATAATGCTGCATCATGCAACCTTCTTCACACTTGATCGGTTTCACTGTGTTCTGCACAAACTGCCCATTCAGACTACATCCTGTCACGTTTTACGCCTGCGCTGAGCTCTGCTCTCGTGCTGATGGTGGCTGCTCAGCATCCATGCCAGCGTTGCCGGGCACTGCTCAGTAGCAACTGGCACGCACAGCAAGTCAGCAAGCACAGCTTTTACATAACCATGACATCATCCCCCGACACAACTTTAATATTGCCAAAGCAGAGACTGGGTTGGTGCTTTTGATGAGAGTTCAATAGATGTGGCACAAATAAAATGATCTAGTTTTATTAATGCAGCTTTAAAATTATACTGGTGCTATGCTGGTTTCCATTCTGGATAACAGATGACTCTAAAACTGTAATTGAGTATACAAATCAAACAATCAACTGGGGATCAGGTGATTAATTAGCACAATTAGCAAAGGAATGGGAAGACTACAAACAGTTAATTAATTGTCTGAACAAGTGTAAAGAGCTTTGACACCTCGAATAAAAAAAATAAACTGCAGCTGAAATGTGTGCGGTTTCTTCAGATGTCTAAATAAAGCAGGGGAAACGTGCAGCAAGAAAATTTACTCTCCTACAGCAGGAAAATAAGCAACACTTTATTTAACAGCTTCTCAGATTCAGAGGCTTTGGCAAAAACTATTAATACCAAAAAATATTTCCACCCATGAACTTCTCCACATCTTGTTTCTAATTTTTCTATAAAGTTTTGTTTAATCTAACCGTGTTAAAGAGTGTTATGTGGCAATAATGTCGTTATTTAACCTTTTGAATGACTGAATAAAAATAGTTACTGATTGAGGCTTAAGATCCGAACTGAAATCTATTCCATAGAAAGCAGAGAGTGAAGCCTGGAATGGCCACTTAACAGTAACTTTACTCAAACTGCAGCAGAATCTTTCCTTTTTTTTTGACAAATACGATGACCTGCATCATTGTGAATAAAGATCTGAAACTAAGGCCCTGCTATGGGGGCTGTTTTAATTTTTAAATGGTAACTTTTACACACAGAAACAGTGTTTCAGAGGACTCTAAATGTTTTTTTTTTTTGGACTATAACATGTTAATTTTGATTAATTAATAACAGATTTTAAAGTGTTTACCACAATTCCTTTTTAAACATACAAAAGTCCCTGAGCCGGAACCTTTGTTGCCTGTTTCTGGTACGCCCGTAAATTTGACGCACAAATAGCAGCGGCGATTGAGGAAGCATTTCTCTTGTAGAAGACAACGTTAGCAAAGCTAGCATCAACAGGAATCCAGATAAGTAGAGTCTTAAAGCCTCCTTTTGAAACATTTGCTTCAAATGTTTAGTTAGGTTTTCGTCATCCATTTATAGACTTTGGTCACGTGACAACCAGTCAGGACGCACGTCGGTAACAATCTGGTGTAAGGGCCAAGAAATGAAACTTGTACAATCCATTCGGCACCTGATATCCTCAGTGAAAACAAAATACATTCATCATTATCGGTGTCTATTTCTAGAGATTTTTTTTTACCCCAAAATAGGATTTAAATGTCATTTATTAGGTTAATCAGAAGGTAACTGGTGTGAAATATTGCAGCTAATAACCAGCTATAATCCACACCAACATGTTTTAGGTCAAGTCTTTAAGCTGCGATCGGTATTTTACTTTTTTAGTATAAAGGAACTGTGTCCAAATAGGTTGGACTTGGTAGCTGTTGCTGGTCACTAAGCTGCATCTGATTGCAATTAATCTGACAGCAAAGAGACAGCAGCAGTCTGTGGTCTGCTTGTAGCTGTCTGAAAAGATAACATCACTAAAATCACGACTTTTCTCCAACAGTAATCAGGGCTGGTATGAATGCATCCTTATGATGTTTACGCCCTATTTAGGACTTAATTAATCAAATTAGTTTGAATTTAGGCACGATTTGAATGCATGATGTGAATGCCAAGAGGACCGGCGACCGCTCCAAAAGAAGGAAGTGGACTAAAGCGTAGGGCATTCTGGGTAAATACAACAAAAAAAACGCGATATTGTAGAGCTAGCGGGAGAGATAAAATCTTACGGCACTCTGTTTCGGTTTACATTTTGTGAAGAAGGAAGTGTCTTCTTGTCTTCTTCAGAGGTTATCATGTCATTTCCTTCAGTAGGTCTTGGTGCAGCGCCACCACAGGCGAGGATGGGAACAGGTTGCTCAAAGGGTTTGGTTTGTTTGACACAATGCAGTGTGAAAATGATCTGCAGCAGCTGAAAATGTAACTAATGTTGCAACTTTGGTCCCCAGTGGTGCAAAAACACCCAGTTATTGCTGGCAGATGAAGACTAGTCTGAAAACAATAACAAAACTCTTCTAATCAGGTGATTTAGTTAAATGTTTCAAACTATACTCCTGAATTTTCTCATGCAGAGGTCTTCATCTGTGCACCAATACTCCAAAAACTGCAGTCTGACTTTTAAAGCCCCAAAATCACCACAGTCAGCTGATTCCAGGCCAGAAAATGTTCTGTGTTTCAACTCGGAGAACATCAAGATCTCAATTTATGAGAACTTTGGCCAGTTATTTCAATAACCTCCTCATCCTTCTGCTGCTGTTTGACCCATTTTAGATGGAGTATGCCAATGAGGAAGAGGAGGATGAGTGAGGAAGAGAAGAAGAAGGATGATTCAGCATGAACAAGCAAACAGACCGACTCTCAGGCTGTTTGGCAAACAGATCCCCTGTTATTCAGCCTCCGTAGCTGTTAGCAGCAGCACAGCAGAAAGCGTCATTGTTTGGGTAGGAATCTAATTTCTTCTGCAGGCAATATCCTTACAAAGTCCCCTGATAAGACAAAAATAAGTTATTTTCTGTGGAGGCTAATATAAGATTCAGCTTTTCTTACGCCTTGAGTTGGTTAATTTCCAAATCAATAAGCAGCATGACTGAGTTACTGAAGGTAAGGGGTGACCCCTTGCCTTCAGTAACTCATTGATTATTGATTTGGAAGTCACAGCTGATTGATCACGTGACCATCACCTGGACATCTTTAATTAATGGAAAATTGTCATATTTATCACGGTGATGTTGCAGAGTCATGGCAGCTCAAGGCTGGGACTCACCGGCCAGTCCGCCGCCTCCATCCCCGTGGCCTTTCCGTCTCTGGAGGATGAAGTACGGATTCGCTCTCTCGGTGATCCATAGCGCTCCCGCCAGCAACACATCTTCGGGAATGACCCACATATTTCTACTTATTTGTATTTTATTTTATAACAGAACCATTGAATTCACTATCCGGTCAAACTGATCCTAGTAAGTAATGTTTATTAAATAAAAAAATCAGCTATGGAGGCCTTGTTATTCACTTGGGCTAATATATATCATTTATAACCGTTTAAGACTTAATGATTGAGGAAAAAACACGCATTGAAAGCGCTACTATAAATAAAACGAGCAGTTCGGGCTCGGCTCGGCCTATAAACAAGTGCTGTTAACCAGCAGGTTCCGCTACCGAGTTTTAAGGAAAACTGTATTTCTTTAGGGGGCCGGAGGCAGCCTGGCTCGGTTCTCCGCAACCCGGGGAGCAGCGCTGGCTTTAGTCTTTGTTGTCCATGCCTCCACGGCAGGTGCGAATCAGTCCGCGGATAGCGCTTGTTTACAGGCGTTGTTATATTAGCTATCGGTCGATCTATCCACAGGAGTAAGCGGAAATGTCTTCCAGCTGTCGTGTCCGTCCGTATGCCGACGAATAGCCGCGATTTTAACCCCGAGAATGCGATAAATAGCGCTGCGGCTCTGCGCTCCTCCTCTTGTTCGGCTGAAGCGCCGCCGTTGCTGCTGCACACAAAGCGCCTCAGTATGGAAAACCGTTTTAGTATTTATTCGATGCAATAGATAAAGATTTTCCTACATTGGTGTCGGGAAAGGGACTGTAAACCAAACGAAAGCCATCGTAACAGAGAAGAACATGCGGTATATTTGGGAAAGGGTGACACTAAGTGTGTGTTACACAGAAAATGCCTCCCAAATTAAAAATCGCCGCCTTCCTAAAAAATAATGGCCTATCATAATTTGCCAAAATTAATTTCTTTTTTTTTTTGTTGCCTACATTATTTTTTTCCAAAAATTGATCCAGACAATTATACTTAGGAAGGTGACAAAATATTGTTTGAGCAAAATAAAATCTGATTACTTTCATACCAAATCCAATTTCCGATTTTAATTGGGGTTTTTTTCTCTCTGATCCTTTAAAAAGAAATCACCAAAAATAGAAAATATTTCAAAAAGCAGTTTTTTATTTCAGTCATACTGTCTGTTCATGAGACAATATGAATTTAAAGTTCAAATAAATTGGAGCTGTAAAATATGCTTGCTAAACAACATGGTAAGGCTTTGGCAAGCTGACGTTACTCTGAACTGTTGAAACACATTGGTGACAAAAAAAAATCAACTCGTCTTTTAGCACTCTGTTTAAAATGTTTTATGACCCAGTAGTGAGGACAAAACTGGAAGAGTGGGTTTCTTGGATTATTATTGATCCATTGCACCATCCAGCAGAATCCTGCTTGGCAGAGTAAATCTCTTCACTTGATTATCGGTTTAGTTTTGAACAGTGGCATTTGATAGAAGAATTGAGTGTTATCAGTTATAATTGATATAATTGATATAGTTATAGATATTGATATAGTTATAGATATTATCAGTTATAATTGATATATATATATATATATATATATATATATATATATATATATATATATATATATATATATATATATATATATAGTAAAAAAAAAATTTA